CAACTCAACATCTTCTGAGTAAAGCTTAAGGGAGGCATTGTATTAACTGAACTCTAAGTTCATTTAAAGGAGCTGAATTTGAAGTGGAGTTTAACTCAAGTTGCATTCAATAAAGCCAAGTTGGATCCAAGGAACTCAAGTTGCATTAAATTATCTTAAATGCATCTCAAGCTTCATTTAGTGCAACTCAGCAATAATTAATGGAACTACACTTAAAGCTACTTCAAACTACTTCAAGTGAAGCTTCATTTACCATTGGGAGATTACAAAGACTTTGAAGGCTGACCAAGACTTCAATTCTCGGATTCAAAGGCCTATTTGTTATATTTTCAATTTTAAACATTTCATTTAAGTGTTTTAAGTTACATTTTAGCTAGTAGGTGCTACGACCATCATGTAATTGGGAGTTACAACCTTTGAAATGTCTTTATGTTACTTTTAGAATTGTTTTGTAGGCTATAAATAATCTAGCTTGTTCCCTTGAAAATTCAGAATTTTTTTATTGAATGAAAGTTGCAATTTTGCTTCAAAAGCATGTAGCTTGTTATTCTGTACAATTTTTGAGTGTTAGATTTGCTTGCTATTATCATTCAAATAGTCTTGATCAAGATATCTTGTGGAGTGGTTCAAATCTTGAGTTTAAGAACAAGTTTTCTCTACTCTTGATATTGATCATCAAGGTAATTCGTTCTAACCATTCATTGGGCTCATACAACTTGAATTTTGGGTTTTACATAAGGGTTCTAATAATCGGTTGCACTAGGGTTCTTTATCAACATGGTTGTAGTATGATAATATCTTGTATTATGAAGGGTAGACATTTCTTTCTCAGTTGTGTTTTATCAATTTTCAAGGAAACTCGGTGGTAAGGGTTGTCAAAACCCTCCAAATAATTACTGATTTTACTAAATTTAACTTGTAGAAATAGCAAAACTAGGTCAAATCCCAAGGGAACCAATGAAATTAATTTCTCAAAATTAAAAAAATGGGAGGTTTTGTAATTAAATTTTGAAATTTAAAAAGATAAACTAAAAGGAAAATGAAAGTCAATCTTACCAAACTTCCAATCCAAATGTGTGATTTTCATCCAATTGTAATATTGATCATAGGCTTTACACAAAATTGGTATCTTGATTCAAGAACTTAATCTACTTACTTGGAACAGCCGTGGTAAGTTTTAATTCTCCTAATTTAATTAATTTAGACCAAGCATCAAAATTAAATTTTATTAATTAATCAACTGGGCACGATAGCGTTCCATATTAATCAAAGAATAGCATTAAGGATAATGAGAATGACTAAACCAAAATTAATTAATTTGAGATAGCTGCAAGTTAATTAATTGTGTCCCTTTATTTCCCTAGAGTCTATTATTTCAGCTACGTGAACATGGAAAAGTCATAATACACACACATAAACCAACCCCTTACTACTTATTTCAATCATTCATGACAATTACGGATCACAAACTCATGGATAGCAGTAGAACAATTAATATGAATTAAGGTGTCAATTTAATTAATATAAACTGTTCATAAATAATAAGAAAAAGAAACAAAGAATACTTGAAAAAAGAAGAAATCTCTATCTAACTTGAGTCTCCCAACCTTAGAATCGGACTTGAATCACCCTTAAGTTGGAAGAATTAAAGTCTAGCCACTCATGGTAGAGGGAGAGAACTGAATTTTGGAAAAAAGAGTTTTTCGTTGGAACTTGGATGATGGATCTCCCAATAAGGCTTCTCTATTTATAGAGATTAACTTTATCTTCTTTTAAAGAGGAATTATCTCTAATAAGAAATTCCTAACTAATTGAGAAATATTCTTTTTAAAAGAAAACAAATTAAATAAAAGAGTTCCTAATCAATTGAGGATTATGTTTCCTACTTTGATTATATCTCTTTATTTACAAAATATTCTAAAAATTCATAATTCTCAAATTGAAGCTTCCCGCCATAATAATTGTGTTTGTATTTATCCGTTGAACTCTTCCCAATTTGGTGAAGTCCGCATTATCATCTAAAATTGCGTTTTTAAATTATTATTCTTGAATATCTTCAATCTACCAAAAAATGATAAATTATAATTAATTCCAATATTTAAACATAATAAATTAATAAAATGTAAAATAAATATATAAAATATGGGTATATTTTTCATCTTATCACTCACCAAAATTTTCATGATTTTATTCAAGTCAAATCTACTAGCCACGATTTGATTTTCAAAATATCATGTCAGTTCATGTTAGTTTGACGATCGATCCACAGCTAGTTGGAATCTGTTGTTTATCACGTCCTAGGTTGGATAGGGTAATCTGGGGTGGGTCGTGTTAGTAAGCAACTCAAGCAATCAAGCTCCATTTGAGTAAAGTGCCAAAGTTCTCAATTGAAGAAGTTCCTCTCCGTTCCAAGTTCTCTTTTATATATATAGCTACATACATATATGTGTATGTATCTATTATTATTATTATTATTATTTTTGCAGGTGTATAATTAAAATGAAATATTGAAAAGAAAATTAGAACACATGTATATCGTTTTTTGTTTTGGTTGTTGCACTTTAAAAGTAACCATTTTGGTCCTTATACTCGAAATTTTAACACAAATTCTACACGTAATGGAAACTCTTTAATAAAAAGTTATTGTTATGTTTCAAGAAATATATTGAGTGTAGTGTTCTGTTGAAATTGTGATAGAAAAAATGAGATTAAAAGTAAAATTAAGGAACAAAAAATTGCCATTTCTTTAGAAGTATAGGACCAAAACTAAAATTTTGAAATTATGTAGACTAAAATGAAGTTTGAATTACACAGACCAAAATAAAAAAGTAAAGAAATCAAAATGAACAAAAACTGTAAGTATAGAGATCAAATAGTATTTAAAACTTATTTTATATCAAGCATAACTACATATGAATATTTTTCAAAAAAAAAAAGGGTAATGGTAGTGGGTAGCAAAAATAATTCATATATTTCAACAAATGTCACCAACTTTTCAAAATTTCAAATATAGCAACATATTTGAATTTTTATTTTCGAAATTTTTATTATTCCGATTCTATCCTTATGATATATGATATACATTCAATGTATATCTGTATCTGATATAAATCCAATGTATATCTGTATCTGATATACATCTAATCTATATTTGATATACATCCGATTTATCTCTGATATACTTTCGATATACATCCGGTGTACCCCTGATATACATTATCATATGTACCCATGATATACTTTAGAAGATGTCAGTATTTTACCTCTAATATATATATCTGATATACCTCTAATTTACGATATACTAAATATATTTGCAACTGATATACTAAATATAAGGTATATCAAATGTTTAAATTTTAGTGGTATATCAGCTGTTTAAATTCTAGTTTACCATTGCAAGTCGTTGATTGATATACTAATATGATCAAATCACTGCTATTTATTCTATATTAATATTAATTAGATACTAAATATAAGTCATATAAACTGTTTAAATTTATAAAGTTTATCAGATTTTTAACCTTTTTTTTTTTGACGTGCATGATCCACATAAATCTTTTATACAATGACTTTATATTTAAAAAAAAATTTGCACCATATTGTTTTCGTATGGAAAAAAATATTGGATATAATAGTATTATATCAACACACAAGTATCATAGTTATATTAGTATATATCATGGTTATATCAGAGGTATATTAGTGGTAAATTAGAAACATATTAAATTTATATCAAATATATATCAGTGTTATATTAGTGGTAAATCATATAATCATATATAAGAAGTTATATCAGTGGTATATCATTTGTATATCAATAGTAAATTATAGACATATCAAGTATATATCACAGATATATAAATATTGTATCGGCATGGTAAATCAATGTTTTCATACGTACATCAGTGATAAGTCATAGAAGTTCAGTAGATATCATAGTTATATAAGAAGTAAATCAATTGTATATCATTGTTATATCAGTAGTATATCATAGGTATATATCAGTAGTTAGATATATTGCAAATATATTACAGATGTATATTAGATATATTGTAGGGTAAAGTTGTAATTTTAAAATTGGACCTCCATTTTTTATTGAAAAAATGCTATATTTGAAAAAACTAAATGTGGTTGCTATTTTGTTTATTTTACTAAATATTTTTGTCATATTTGCAATTGTCCAAAAATAACTACATATATATAAAATTGAACTATAATCCATATGAATTTATACTTTTTCAATAATCATTGAAAATTATATATATATCTATAAATTAAATAATATATTGAGTATTATAATTTAGAAAACTTCAATTAATGAATGGTAATGAAAAAAAATAAAAGAAAAGAGACAAATGGTAGAACCTACTAAAATTTTAAAAAAATAAAAAATAAATAAGAGAAATAGAAAAAATAGTGGGACTCACTAAACTTGAGAGGATGTGCGGCCACATCGTAGAGAAAGAGATAAAGAGAAAGATACATGATTTGATTGATGTGAGATCCAACCGAAGAAAGATAAGATAGATAAAAGATGAAAAAGCACAGAGTTTAATGGTAAATTAGAGAATTTGAATAGTAGATTTATTATTCAAATCTAGAGTTCTTAAATCCTTCACTCGAACTAGAAGTGGACTTCCTAAATCAATTCTATTCCATCCAACACATTGCTTGAACGACGACGAGGCTATATAAAGAAAAACTCTTGGGAGCTAATATAAAAGAAAAAAAAAAGATGAATTTTTCTCTCTCAGTGTGATCTAGACCTTATCCCTTCTCTCTGAATCCCTCTTTTATTATTATTTTTATAGATGTCATCACCACTCTCGTCCAATAAAATCGAATGAGGAAGCAGAAACTCTCCTGTATGGCCATAGGTATATAGTTTTCTCCTTAATTTTGGAAGTGTCGTTGATCTCTACCTCAATTAACACAGTAATTAAACGATGATATGACATGTTTTTTCTTTCCCCTCTTGAAATCGATAATATGCCACATGTCCATTAGACAAAGTTTGACTCTAGATACATCATAAACAAATCTTAAAAGGAAATGGGCATTTGAATAAAATAGAGTAATGCAATTTAAAAATGAATTCGATGTATCTTAGAAGAAAACCACACCTAAAGCATAAACAAGACTAGAAGAAAAGCCTTGTGTATTGATCAGCTTCTTGTGCCATCTCCTCGAAGCTTCTGTCCTTCCTCTTCTCATCCAAATCAATGTGTTGCTTCATTACTCTATCATTTTCGTCCATCTACACAAATGAGAAATAGTAACACTTAAATTCTACTTTCCTTCATGCTTATTTTAGTTTCAAATGATTTCGTGTGTTGTATATATTTTTCGAGTGCTAGAGAATCGAATCATTAACCTTAAAAATGGTAATAAATTATATATCTTATTCACTAATTATTCACTAAGTTATGTTCGATGATGTGTTAGTTCTTGAAATTTACCTTAAAAGTTTGTTTTCACTTCAAGCTATAAATCTTTCATAAATCATTTTACAAAAACAAGACATACGACATATCTTTCATTCATTTTCTTGAGGAAAAAATGTCTAACAAAAAAAATGAATAGCTCTTATACGTGATTGAAACTAATATTAAATGGAGAGAAATGACAATACAAAGAGTTCGAACACTAGACATCCTGTTTTTATATTATCCTAAACATGATTAAACGACTAATTAACCCAAAAGTTTAAACTCATCCTAGGTTATGATTAATTTAATCATTTTATATGATATCTAACACTTAGATACTATATATGAATTAAATTTAAACTAACCTAACAACTTAAGTTTTTGGGATCATTTGTGGTTTAAGATGGTATCAGAGCAGGAGAGTCTTATCTTTAAATCCCTGTGTTTTCTATTTCCTCCTCATTTATATATATATTCAATTTATCCAAACTCTAATATATATGAATTAAATTTATTTAAACTCTTCGATTTAATTTTTTGGTTAATTGGTCATTTAAGAATACTGAAGAATAAAAGAATTTTTTATGCAAAGTTTAGAAACTCAACCAATCGGATAATTTAAAAGTCAAAACAGCACATTTATATAAGATTTAAAATCAGAACAAAATAAATATATAAATTTAGGTTTGGTTGGATAACTAGTTTCTAGTTCTACTTTTTCTATTTAGTGAAGAATATACAAAGAATTTTACTGCATTGTAGATCTCATAATTTCTCTCGAAGTCTTGGGCTTTTCTAGGGATAACATGAATGTGAACATGTGGTACAGTTTGTCCCGCTTCGGGCCCATCGTGACATTCAAATACACACAATGCTAAATATTAATATAACTATGTACTATAATAGAGGTATCAATTTTTCTTGTGAGGATCCATCTTGAAATAAGGACAATGAATTTTTTTTCCCATTTTAATAGCTGGAAATATTTCCGAGTTAAATATATGACACAAAAACTAAGATTAAAAAAAGTAACCCCGCTTTGTCCATGCTCATATATACTATAGTGGTATAGATAATAAGATAAATCAAATCAATGTTCATATTAATCATTTCACTTTGCTCTCATAAATTTGTCGATGCACAAATAACAGTTATCGAACACTTATACTTAAAAAATATATAACATAGAAGTCAAAGAAATTGTTTAATCTTACTTGAATATTCAAGGTTAGAGAGGAAGCATTATGGAATAACTCCAATTTACCACCAATTAGTTGCGTTGTGAGCCATAGGTCGCAGATCTCATCACGACTCAGATCCACAAAGCGCTTCACCTCCCGCTTCGGGATCGCTAACACATCTATGCATCGTCAAGGCCAAAACCACTTGGAAGACAATAAAAATTTAGGGCACGTTTGGTAACGTTTATGTTTCTTCATTTTTAATAAAGAAAAATGAATCATGAATCCCAATATCCATGAATTCAAATATAACAAAATTATTTTTTATTTATGTTTTGGAATAAATTAGAAATGAGAACCACTTGTTTTTTTTTTTCTAAAATTTTTATACAATTTTAAGAATGTACCCAAAAAACATGAGAAATAAGAAATATAGGCCCGTTTGGTAACGTTCATGTGTTTCTTGTTTCTGTTTCTTTATTTTTAATGAAAAAGAATGTATTACATGGTTCAAACCTCCAAGAATTCAAGTATGATAAAACAATCTTTTATGTTTTGGAACCAATTGGAAATCGGAACAATAAATGAGAAACTTGTTTTGGTTGTTTCCAAAATTTCTATACAATTGTGAGAATGATCCCAAAAAATGAGAAACAAGAAACAAAATGAGTAGAAAAATGCGAAGATTTCTTTAAAAAAATTGTAAACGAGAAACAAAAACAGTAACGTTATCAAACGGTCCTATAGTTATTATCAAAACGCTTAAATTTCTTAAGGAAATTGGAAACGAGAAACAAGAAACATAAACGGTATTTCCAATTTGTTTTTACCTAAACTTTTTATCTTTTGTTTCTGTTTTTGTTCCCATTTTGTTTCAACGTAAATAAAAATTTTGTTTTGTCATTATTCTTACATTTCTATTGTTATATATCTCATCTTAGAGTAGTAGAACGTGTTATTAGCTAAGTTAGATGCAATTTTTAAATGTATTGTGATATTTGTTGGGTTGGGGCCGAAATTTCTTTTCGGTTAGATTTTTAATAACTTCTAAAATATATAAACATCATTTTTAGTGGATTTATAGAAAAAATATACATTTCACCTATCAAAATCATCCAAAAATTACTTTTCTAATATGTCTGAGTTTTTTTCTTCCAAAAGTATTTCATTTAAAAAAATTATTTTAAAAATTATCACAAGCTTGCTATTAGTATTTTCTTAAAAAAAAATACTATTTTTGAGAGTCATTCTATTCACTATCAAAATTCGAAAGTGTATGTATATTTTATCTAAAGCAAAATTTCTAAAAATATGATTGATAGAGAGAGAAGGAATGACCTGCAAAGAAACAATAATTTATAAATAGAATATTTAAGAATGTAAGCAATTATTGGTGGACGAGAAACTTCAAAATGGCAATTTTGAGTTACTACCAAAATATTTACCTAATAAACAACCTTATTTTCTTTATAAAAAATAATAACAAAATTATTACCACATAATTACAATAATTACACACATGTTTAAATACTATTTTGCTTCATTTTACTCTCAATTTTCATTCATTTTGAACGTACCTGTATTTTCAATTTTTGTTCATATACTTGTGATAAGCCTCTTTGGAGTCCGGTATATTTTCAAAAGTGACAATTTTGATCACAAAATTTTATACACAATGAAAATTCTTTTAATACATATTTTATGGTTACATTTAAAGAAATTTAGTAAATGAAGTGTTATACTAAAATCGTGGTTGAAATAAATAAAATAAAAATGAAAATGAAACGACTAAAATTGTTACTTTTCAAACATACGAGAACCAAAACGAATTAACTACAGAGACTAAAATAGACATTTTAAAAATATATAGAGATCAAAATAAACTAAAACCATAATCGAGACTAAAATAATATTTAAACCTCGTACAAATATATCGTACCAGGAACAACAGGACGAAGATTGACCATTGCATATGAAAGATTGGTGGTGTAGAATATTAACTTTCTGTGAATCTTGTGAGGCCCAAATGTATAATACTCTGATACCATCCTTTTCCTATTTTTGTAAATTGGTAGACACAGAAAGAAAAAATATTTATTATTATTATTATAAATATAGCAAAAATAAAATAAACACGTCAACTCAAAGAAGATAATACTTTTATACATCACGTTATCGTTACTTTATACAATTTAATAGGGTTGTTAAGCAAGGACTTAGATTGAAAATTTTGATTTTCTTAATAATATAATTGAAACTTTTAGAAAAATAAAGATAGATGGAAGGGTATAAATTTCAAGAATTTGATAGTATATTAAAGATATAAATTATGTTTTGTTCTATTTTGATCTCTACCCTCTCAGCTAATATGAAAATTTAGCCTTAGTCTAAACTGGTAAACTTTCATTGTAAAAAAATAAAAGATCGAAATCAATTTTGAAATCAAATGGCTGGTCTCACTAGATGTAGCTTTAAACATTTGTCAACCTAAGTATTTAATTATCAACTGAATAAATAAAATATATGCTCACGTCAAGTTTTATTAAGTAGTAAAAAACATTGACGATAATAACTACAGTAGATTTTTACTTCTAAACTTGAATTTTTATCTTAAACTTTTAATTCGTTTCAAAACTAAGATAAAAGTATACTGCAATTTTACCTTCTATTTAATTTCTTCTTAGTCACCCACATACTTTAATAAAACAAAGTAGTATAAAAATCTTCAGAATCTCTCTAATTTCAAGATAATCAACTTTGGCACATAATTCGTCTGATAAATATACAATTTGAATAACTCTATCAAAATTAACAAATTTTAACCTAAAAAAAACAGCTCAGTGTCCTTTTCCTGTGTTTTTCTTTTTGTCTAAAATTCTATCATAATTTTTAAAAAGGTAAAAATTGTTTCATCTTAGTTTAAGGTATCTAAGTTTAGCGATGAAATTTGATGAAATTAAGAATTTAGGGTAAAAATGGATAGATGTTGGAAAAAATTTAATTATTCTTTCCAACTTTTTTTTAATAATTTAAAAGTTTAGGAAATAAAATGAAATTGATAATTCATCTAGTGGAAAAAAGCGATGAAAATCCTCAAGTTTAGCTAAGTTGACCGGGGGTGGCAGATACTGGCCGTGAACGCCCAATCACGGTGGGCAAAATTTAGGCAGTGTTAGAAATCTCCTCTCTCTCATCACCGTCAGCAAGAGGAAGTGAAAACAGGGTATAAAAGAATTGAATTGGATCAGCAAAATTTAATTTTCACACAATAATTGGCACAAAATTGAACTTTAAAATTACATTAAGAAAAAAGTGAAAATGAAATTACCTTTTTTGGTGTATAAAATGGAGATGGATCGGAATGGGAAGATGAGAGCAAAATAAAACAGAGAGAAACGAGAGGCAAGAAGAAGATTGGAAGTTGTTTGTGTGAAGGGAAAGTAGATTTTATTTATTAAACACATAAAACTAGAGGAAAAGTCCAAGTGGGGATAAAAATCAAAAATAAAAAATCAAGCTGACCCATTGCCTGAGCTAAGCTAATTGGTTTGATATCTATGGGTATTTTTCTTTTTTTTTTTTTAAGAAAAATATTTAGGTGCTTACGAGCACAAATTTTTGATATATAGGAGAGAGAAAGGTAGAAAAATAGATATATTTTTATATTTTTTGAAAAACTAAAAAACTGTCAAAATTTTGTGGATGAAAGATGGAGTTTATTGCATTTAAGTATTAAAATAATTTTTAATAATTTAAAAAATGTAGTATTGGGTCAATTTAAGTATGATTCAACTCTGCCTATTGAAGTTGTTAGATTAGACCATAAGTCTATGTTTTAATGGTTGGGTCATTCCAAACTTAAGGTTTTAAATATCGATGTTGTTGATGTTTGGATTTTGGTAGACCGGTTTGCTCCAAAATGTGCACCAAACTCAAATATCAAGGGAACAGATACCTGCAAAACTGAACAACCCTAAATTGGAGAAATCACAAAGCAAGTAAGACACTTGTGTGATTCAGCTTACCTTCAAGGGGGGCCCCCTACCTATTTATAGTTGATCTTCTCCCTAGGGTTTCACGAAATACCAACCCTAGGTCTGATACACTTGGTCCTATGGGCCGGGACACCTCCAGTAGTAGTAGAGGAGCAAGGACGGGGCTCGGCACCAAGCAGGGGTCGAAACCTAGCCCTGCTCGGTCCGGTCAGTCATTCGCGGGTTACTTCGCCTGGCTTAATTTCTCCTTCGCTTGTCGTTTTTTACCCCACAACAGTTGCCCCCTACTCTCAAGGTGATGTACTTCATCACTTTGAGAGTACTTGGCGAGTCACGAGAAGAGTTATCATTGTCAATTTCTGGTTTGCACCGTGCCCAATGGACCCATGAATGATGGGTTACTGTTGTGTCCACACAACTATGTCGACAACACGTGCAAATATACACAAAATCCTGTGTGGCCTGCCCATAATCTCGGTGCAAGAGGCAATACCGCCCCTTACTCCTCTCATTCGGAGGTACTTTCATCCTTTTTTGGCCACTTAACCAACCTTTGATATTTAATCTCCATTAACACCTGCTCGAGTGGGACTGTGGTTGGAGTGTATTTTTCGAACTTTCGAGGCGGATCTTTCTGACTAGCTCGATCTCGTTTTTCCCACCTCGAGATCTGTTGCTTTTCTCCTGACCTTTCTCTCTTCTGGTCGGTTCGTTTCCCTTCAGGTTCCTTTTTTGAGTGGAAAATTCCCCAGCACTCATGTACTTTTGGGCTCGGCTCAGCGCTTCTGCAAAGGTGCTTGTGGTTTTCTTTCCGAACAAAAACGATAGGTGTTCATCCCCGATGCCGGACATGAAAGCCTGTAGTGATACTGCATCAGTAAGATCTTCCACTTGTAGCTTCTCCTCATTGAACCGAGCCACATAATCGTAAAGGCTCTCCGCCGCTCTTTATTTTATGGTCAGGAGGTAGGCTACTGGTCGGCTCCAATTCCGCTCTCCTACAAATTGGGTCACAAATGCCCTAGCCAGACTCTTGAAGCTTGAAATCGACCCTCGCTTTAATTGTCAAAACCAAACCCTGGCCGACCTGCCTAGGGTGGATGAGAAAACTCAGCATCTGATTGCTTCTGAGACCTCGTAGATGTCCATCTATTCCCGGTAGGCGTCAAGATGATCTACCGGGTCAGCCATCCCGTCAAACTGCTTTTATGGCTGGTAGCTTGAATTTTGGAGGCACCTTCTCTCTCATTATCTCCTCTGTGAACGGGGAATCTGCTTGGTCTATTAACTCCTCGAGGTCGAATCCTTTTTCTTTCAAGCTCAGTTGCTTTTCAAATAATTCGGGACGCTCCCCCGGCTTCTCTTGGTCAAGGTCCACCGGCCGAGGTCTCCTCGGGTATTTTGCTCGTCCTTGCCCCCACTGGGCACTGGGGATTTCGGTCGTTGCGAGTCGAAAATCTGAGTTCTCCACCTGTCGTTTCCCCCTAACTTCAGTTTGCTCTGCGCTTTATTTGTCGATTTCTCTGCTTCGCTTAGCGCCGGGCCCTTTCCTTTTCGGGGGTCTCTGACGAGAGGCAGTAGRCTCGCTTCCCTCTACTCCAACTGCTGAAGCTGTTGGGTCATGCGCTGGTACATACCCTCGACCTTCTCTTCCAGGGCCACAAACTTGTTTTCGGGTTGATCTAGAGCCTCGACTCACAG